TCAACCCAGGTGACTGTGGGATATTCTGAAGAAAATATTGAGAGAAGAATGTGATAGTCTGCAGCTAAGTGCTATCAGAACGTCTGTGCCAGGCCAGGAAAATCCAATCGGGAAATCTTGGTTAGGTGAACTCTTAAATAAGGCTCCGTGTGTGCACACACACACACGTGCTCTTCTACACAGGACTGAAGTGTGGAATTCGCATGGTCAACATGAAAAGTAAGGAACCTGCCGTGGGATCTAGATTCTTCTCTAGAATTAGTAGTTGGAGAAATTCAACAGTGGCTGGACATCCGTGGCAGGTCAGTACAACAAAGGCATTGATTTCTTAATGAGAAAACGGTGAAATATTTCCTTTGTTTCAAAAGCAAGAATTCACGTTGATTTGTGGTTTTTCTCCTGACCCCCTCTAGCTCTCTACCAAAAAGTTTACTTCACAGAAACTATCTTACTATCCAATTTATGTCAGTATTTTAAGAATATTATGTCAGATTAGAAAAGTTGATCTTCAGTGTTTCTGATGGAGATACATCTGTGGGGAGACATATTAGCTGCGTTTGTAACTTTCTTCTCGGGCAGGTCTCCCTAAAATCACATGAGCACCACTTCTGCGGAGGAAGCTTGATTCAAGGAGATCGTGTTGTTACAGCAGCACACTGCCTGGACAGCCTCAGTGAGTAAGTTGTGGATTTCCATTACTTGTCAGGCCTTGATTCCTGGCTATGGGACTGGGAGATTTGTTGCTCTAAATAGCAGGTTCATTCTCAGTTCCTTTCTTAATTTTGCCTCCCAGTAGACCCACCCACTGATCTTCCTGATTCCCAGAAATGTGTGTCTGTTCCAAGATTTCCAGTGCTTCCTGTTCTACTGAATTAAACAATCCTAGACATCATCTGTAATTTATGGATTTAGTGCTTGGGTAGAGGTGGTGGTTACTTACTATAATAAAGCATTAACAAGAAATGTTAGATGGATGCTCCAAAGTTTTAATCAGCTGGGTTTAAATCATTAGGCGGGAAAAAGCTGCAGAAATTACATATATTTGACCGGATTAATAGAGGGTACTAATAAGAGAAAAGAAGGAACAGTTCTAGAAAGCAACTTTTATATCCTGTTACAAATGGCGTAGCATGTATGAACTAAGGTTTGTATATCAAAGAAGTAAAGGAGGCAATATTTAATTACTTGACTCAGAAAAATGGAAACATGATGAAAACCATGACTTTTTCTAGATTAAAAATATATGACCATTGGTAACACTCAATAAATAAAGAAAACCTTCTTCAAAGACTCAGGGATGCTTAAAGGTACATTAATCACTCTTCATTTAATTACATGAAACCAAGAAGACTTGTGTAGGGGAAACAACTATTTATGAAACATTTATCTTTGGTTTTAGGAAGCAACTGAAGAACATAATTGTGACTTCTGGGGAGTACAGCCTCTCTCAGAAGGATGAGCAAGAACAGAATATTCCTGTCTCAAAAATTATTACCCATCCTGAATACAACAGCCATGAATATATGAGTCCTGATATTGCACTGCTGTATCTAAAACACAAAGTTAAGTTTGGTGAGTACGGAGAGTTAGAATATTAAAAATGCAATGGAGGAAAACTGCTAATTAGTTAACTTTAATGTCTGTGTGGCTGTCTAGTAATAGAATAGCTCAGTTTTGTTTCTTTTTAAAATAATTTTGTTCAGTCTATAACCTATTTAAAAAAAAAAGTACTGTATAAGCTACATATCCCAGCCACAAATTATTTATGCTTAACCTAACAACCAACATTTTTTTCCCTTTCATTTATTTTTATTGATACATATTACAAGTACATATTTTCAGGGTACATGTGATAATGTGATACATTCATATAATCAAATCAGGGTAATTAGGATATCTATGACCTTAAATATTTATCTTTTTATATATGCTAGGAAAGCTGGAATTACTTCTCTGATCTATCAAACATCAGGTGTATATTTGTATCCATTAATCAACCCCACTTCATCCTCCCCTCCTCCCTACCCTTCCCTGCCTCTCATAACCACAGGTTTACTCTCTATCTTCATGAGATTCAGTATTTTAGCTCACACATGAGGGAGAATATGTGATATTTGTTTTTCTGTACTTGGCTTATTTCACTTAATATCCATGTTCAGTTTCATCTGTGTTGTTACAAATGACAAGATTTCATTCTTTTTATGGCTGAATAATATTCCACTGTGTGTATATACTACATTTTCTTTTTCGTTCATCCATTGATGGACAACTTAGGTTAAGTCCATATTTTGGCCAACTAGTATTTTAAGGACTCCTGTTTCTTGGCTGGGCTCCATTCTAACTACCTACCTATATTCACCTCTAACCAAAAAGCTTGGAACATTTGAAAATGTTTTCGGAGGCTTCTTTCTGTCATTACTATGAACAAGATATACAACACTCTCTCAACACAGGTAATATAAACTTTCTGGGTAAAATACTAAAAGACCCCCTACTTTTTTTTTTTTTTTAATGCAAGAAAAGGAAGTGTTGCATGGCCAAAAACAAAGCACAAATCCAGAGTAGTTAGTCAGGCCACTGCCCTTGAGAGATCAAATTGATCTTTAAGATCCTAGAGATTTACCTGGCCGTGAGAGGAACTGTAAAGAACCTGGAAATTTCTGAAAGGTGATGCTTTGAAAGATAGGGAGAGGGAGTTGTGCGTGTTATGCTACATAAAGTGAGGGAATAAGGGCACTTACTTGTCTCAACCTTGGCTCTGGACAGAGGGTTCTCAGAAGAATCTGTAATCATGAGCCAGGCCTCACTCAGGTTTGATGCTGGAATTGACATCACCTGTGTGGCACAAACACTCCAAGGCAAAATTTTAAAGTGGTTCTAGGTGAGTAATCAGCCTCTGCCAGAAGCAAAAAATAAATCCTCTCTGAGAGAATGAAATTTAAATCCCAGCTTTAATATATTCCCATAAAGCTTTAATGAATTCGAGCACAGAAACGTGCAGAGAAATTTGCCATTGAAAATAGAGTCTGAAGCATTAACAATCAGAATCAGACCTTCAAAGGTTACAAATTTCAAGATAGAGAATAGAAAATGAGTATATTAAGGTTTAAAGAAGTGAAAGTGTACTGAAAATGATTGAACCAGAGGAAACTATTAGATGAAAGGGAAATTTGAAAATAAGCCAGTAAAATGTGAAAATATAAAAATGTAATTGGAATTAGAAACTCAACAGAATACTTATCTACCAGATTAGATTAGGTGTATGGAACTAGACAATCTGAAATAATTACCCAGAGGAGACAATGAGGATAAGAGACAGAGAAGATAGAGTGTAATAAACATTCAATTTGAAGTTTAGAAAGACTATGGATATTGGTGGAGAGTGACTGTAATTTAAGAGAAAGTGGCTGAGGATTGATCATAATTGATATCCAAATCTTTAGATTTAAAAAGCTTAGTAACTCCAACTATGATACAAAAAATAATTATATATCTAGACATGTGCAAAAATGTAGCACACTAAAGGAAAGGACCCCAAAAGAATCTAGAAGGAAAAAGACACATTACCAAAAATGGAATGTTATTGATTTCTCAACAGCAGTAAGTGAATGTCAGGAGATAGTAGATGATCAAAATACTGAGAATAACTCAAACCGTAAGCGTATATAAGAGGAAACTATGGCCCCATCTTTTCTTTCCTTTATAGAAAACCTCTACTAAGAGCCATCTATGCTAGTTATGTCAATTTCATTTCCTCAGTTCTCATAGCTGGATGTATTAGGTTAAGATGTCTGTTCCACATTTAAGTGGATCAGACTTTCACTCCACTGTTCCATAAATTTGGTCTTGTCACAGTCACTAATGACCTCTATGTTGCTAAATTCAAAGTAACTTCTCAATTCCCATATTTCTGGATAAGAGTTTTTAGCAGAATTGCTCATATGTTCTTGGAAATATTTTCTTCACTTGAATTCTGGGAATTCATTAGTTATTCTCCTACCCTATTGTACCCTTTCTTAGTCTTCTATGATGATTCTTCCTCTTTTCCTTGACTTCATATTGTTGGAATGCCTAGGTTCAACCCTGGACATCTTATTCTCTAGTTGGGCTCATTCTCTTAGTGATCTCATCCAGGATCAATAATTTAAACTTCTAAATCCAAAAAACTTTAGATTCATCCTTGATTCTTCCTTCTCTGACACTGTACATCCAATGAGTCAGAAAAACCTGTTGCTTCTTCCTCACTCACTTCACGCTTTTGTCATCTTGTTCCAGGCAATACTACCATCATTTCTTGCCTGGGTTAATTTTAATGGTCTCTGAAATTTACTCAAGCTGCTGCTTCTGTCTTCCTAATGTTTGTTATTAACCCAGTGGCCAGAATGATACTTTTAAATAGGTAAATCAGATTATATCACCCCATTCAAACAACTTCAATGGTTCTCCATTACATTTAGATTAAAATCAATGTCATTATTATCTGACATACCCTCTTTCCTAGTCCTACATCTAACCTCTGATTTGTTTATTTTTTTATGAAACTTACTTAATCTGCTGCAGTCATCCTGGCCTCCCACTGTCCCCTAAACATGTATGCATGATCCTGCAGCAAGGACTATTTCTTCATCAAATGACTTCTACCCAGATAACTGCATGATTCCTTTCCTCAGCTTCAAGACTTTGCTCAGATGTCACCTGCTCAATGAGACTTTCCATGATCATCATATTTGAAATGACTCCTTCCATGCCATTCTCCCTAATCTCCAGACTAATCTCCTTTATCCTATTATTTTCCATAGCATTTATTTACCACTGAACAACATATTATATTTGCTATTTGTTTCTTCTCCCTTCACTCAACACACAAACACAAATATACACACTTATGTAGGTTCTACCAAGACAGAAATATTTTTCTTTCTGTTCATTCATTGAGATCTAAAAGAGTGCTTGCCACGTGATAATTTGATCACCTTGTTCTACTATCTTCTAACATTCACTTACTGCTGTTGAGAAATCAATAACATTCCTTTTTGGTAATATGTTTTTTTCCTTCTAGATTTTTTTGAGATGCATTCTTTGTTTTTAGTGTGCTACATTTTCAGCACATGTCTAGATATAAAATTATTTTTTGTATCATAGTTGGAGTTACTGAGCTTTTTGCTAAAGATTTGGATATCAATTGTGATCAATCCTCAGCCACTTTCTCTTAAATTACAGGTTTCTCCCCACAATTATCTACATTTTTTCTAAATTTCCCAGGTTCTTTACAGCTCCTCTCATGGCCAGGTAAATTTCTAGGATCTTAAAGATCAATTCAATCTCTCAAAGGCAGGGACCTGGCTAATTCCTCCGAATTTACACTCAACAGCTGTCGAGTGAAAAACTATCCTTTCAAAACAAAGCCAGAGTCTAAAATGTTAGTAGATTGGGGGGCTCATGGTGGTGTGCAGAACAATTGGCCTTATGTTTTTCCTTGTTTTACTTTTTCTGCATTTCTCTAAATTTCTATAAATACGAAACAGTTTTTATGGGGTCCAAAACTTAAAATATGTCACCATTACATTTAGGAAGAAAGTGTAGAAACCATAAAATCAATAGATTTCACTTTTCCAAATATATTCAACATGGTATATTTATCCATGAACCTCATGTCTTTGTTGTTGTTTTCTCAGGAACTGCTGTTCAGCCAATCTGTCTTCCTGACAGTGATGATAAAGTTGAATCAGGAGTTATTTGCTTGTCCAGTGGATGGGGCAAGATTTCCAAGAGTAAGGGACATCATAATGACTTAATACTTCTTCCAGATCTCTGTATGTCCAGGGGAAGCAGAAATAATTTTCTTGACCATGAGTTGTACATTTATCATTTTTTATCCCTAATTTCTGACACAACGAAGATTTCTGGTTATCCTCAGCATCAAAAGGCTTATACTTCTTAAAAGGCTATTCATATCACTCCTGCTGCTGCCAATTTGGTTAGGTATGGCAGATAAAGGAAGCTGGATAGAGCTGTGATAGATGAGGAGGTATAAGGCAAAAGGATGATCAGGAAATAGTAATAATAGTTAAGCTTCTTTGTCTTTAATATTGTGACTTTTTTAAAAAGTCAGACTCAGAAACAAAAAGTAGAAGAGTAAATACCACGGATTTGAGAGTGAAAGAAAAGGGAAGATGTTGTTCAAAGGGTGTAAATGTGGAATTGTATGACAAGTAAGTTCTGGAAATCCAATATATTGCATGGGAACTATAGTTAATATATTGAATACTTGAAATTTGCTAAGAGGGTAAATGTTAAGTATTCTCACTACAAAAAAGTTAACTCTGTGAGGTGATGTAATGTTAATCAGCATGATTGTGGTAATCATTTTACAATGTATACATATACTAAAACATCACTTTGTACTCCTTGAATAAATACAATTTTTATTTGTCAACCTCAAAGCTTGACAAAAATACATTGTGATTTTTTATTTTATAAAGAATTTTAGGCAGGGTGCAGTGACTCACGCCTGTAATTCTAGCACTTTGGAAGGCCAAGGCAGGAGGATGGGAGCCCAGCAGTTGAAGACCAGCCTGGATAGCATAGGAAGACCTTGTCTCCACACACACACACACACACACACACACACACACACACACATACACACAAAAATTAAAAATTAGCAAACCATGGTGGCATGCCTGTAGTCCCAGCTACTTGGGAAACTGAGGTGGGAGAATCACTTGCTCCCTGGAGGTTGAGGCTACAGTGAGCCTTAATTGTACCATTGCACTCCAGCCTGAGTGACAGAGGGACACCTTGTCTCAAAAAAAAAAAAGTGATTGTTATAAAACATTTCTGTATTGACCAAAGTTTTCCTCTGTTGGGGAAACATTTAAGCATTTGTTTAGAGAAGTCACAATTGTACAATTGCCTATGTTACCTTAAAAATCTCCTGAATATTTTTAAAATGTCCTCTGCCATGTATCTGATTTTTAGAAGTGAATATGATTCACACCTAAAAACAATTTTACTTCTACATGTGGTTAAAAATCTGTTTGAAATAGTTCTAAACTTGTAGACTTCTCATTAATTTGTTTCCATGAGGATATTGTGTACTAACTTATCTGTCCTCTCTCTGCAGCATCAGAATATTCAAATGTCCTACAAGAAATGGAACTTCCCATCATGGATGACAGAGCATGTAATATTGTGCTCAAGAGCATGAACCTCCCTCCCCTGGGAAGGACCATGCTGTGTGCCAGCTTCCCTGATGGGGCAGTGAACGCCTGCCAGGTACAAAAGTGTAAACCAGCCTAGCTGTTTACCAACATGTGGGTGAAAGTAGATTCTGCCTTTCTGCAAAAGAAGCTCCTGTTTCTTCTGTTACTGTGTCAAAATTCCTTTTCCCTTCATCTTTTCATCTGATTTCTACTGAAAAGGTGTACTTGGCCTAAGCAGAAAGAATTATTTCCTGTCTCCACATCCATTCCTACTCCTACACTTCTTTTATTTTGGTGGGTTGGGAAAAGGGATTAATTTGAACGTGTCCAACCTAATGGAATCAAGCAAGATGACCACTTTCACAATCTTATTAGGTCCAGCTATGAATTCTTCATTTCACATGTTGTTAAGCATTGTGGAATGTTTTTCCATTGGTGCAGAATATATTTGCATAAAATTTGACCGAAGATACATAGCTTTGGTCACAGTTGTGTAAGAGATATTGGGAATGACCACAATCCCCCAAGACTGACACAACTTCACAATGAATACCAATCTTCACAAGATATTTAGAGGGGACAAGGAGACCAATTTTTGAAACACAGGAGTTTTAAGTTTTAGATAGGTCTTCCAAATAAATTATCTTCTCTTTTAAGGTGGAGCACTAAGGAGTCATTATTCTTTGCCAAAAAGCGGCTTGAAAATGTTGAGGGAAGCTCTCTGAAATTATCTGTTGGAAGGATTTTTGCGTTTTTCTTAGAGGCAATGACAGGAGTTTGGGAGGGAGGAGACTGAAACTGACACTTATGCCACTTTCTAAATTGGAAAACAGGTTAAAGGTGCTTTTTGTTATCTGCATTCATTATAGGCAATCCTTTTTTGGATGAAGCCCTCTACACTTTTTGAGAAGAGTTTAATCTGACAAAAAGTTGTCTGAAACATAGTCTTAAAGTGGTATAGATTCTGGAATGTTATTGAAGATGCAATCCTAAAACCTTGGGTTCTTTATTCTGTAGGATAAGAGCCAGTGTGGTCCTTTACATATATCCCCAGAGATAAAGGAAAGCCTGGGAAACCTAATTTTTTTGTTGTTGTTGTTGTTTTTTTTTTGAGACAGAATCTCACTCTGTTGCCCAGGCTGGAGTGCCATGGCACAATCTTGGCTCACTGCGACCTCTGCCTCCCAGGTTCAAGCGATTCTCCTGCCTCAGCCTCCTGAGTAGTTGGGATTATAGGCATCTGCCACCACGCCCAGTTAATTTTTTTTGTATTTTTAGTAGAGACAGGGTTTCACCATGTTGGTCAGGCTGGTCTTGAACTCGTGACCTCAGGTGATACACCATCTCTGCCTCCCGAAGTGCTGGGATTACAGGTGTGAACCATGCACCTGGCCCAGGCTTTCTGTTCTTAAAGCCTTGAGGCCTTGAACTATCTTGGGGGATCTATTCACTGATGCTCTATAGGACTGGAAGATGACCTAGGCTTTCCTGCAATTCCAGGTGACAAGCTATAGTAGAAGCATCTATCTATACTACCTCCCTTCCAACAATTTTTAGAATGTACATGGTAGTGAAAAAAAAAAAAAGAGGAAGAAAAAGTGTTAACCTGACAAGATTGCAGCCAATAGGTATAAGGAGATTTTATCTTGATTAAAAGATTGTGCCTTGAAACTAATGATAAGGACACAAGAAAATGGATAAACAAAAAGTTGATGGACGATGACTAGTGGACTTCTTTGCCTCTACCTCTTTTCACTTTGTGATGAGTGCTGATGTTTGCGGAAATGATGAAATATTTTACACTGTGGCTATTTTCAAATTTTCTCTTTTTTTGTACCATGAAAGAGGGACTCTGGAGGACCACTGGTTTGTAGAAGAGGTGGTGGAATCTGGATTCTTGCTGGGATAACTTCCTGGGTGGTCGGTTGTGCTAGAGATTCAGCTCCTCTAAGAAATAACCATATGAAGGCATCACTTGTCATTTTCTCCAAAGTGTCTGAGTTGATGGATTTTATCACTCAGAACCTGTTCACAGGTAGGTGAATTCTTTCTTCCTCATCTCATCCTAACTCAAGGGTAGTTACTCTGCTATGTTGCGATATTATCAGAACTAAGCTTTAGAACAAAACAAGAATAAGGCTGGTTTTAAATTCTTAGTCCAATGTAGATACTTGTGTCTCTGAAACCCTGAGTATAGAAATC